CTTATTTCACAGAGTTGAGGTGAGAATCCAATGAAGAGTAGCACCTTTCAAACAACGCTATTATTTTTTTAAATGCATGAACTAATGAAATGATATCTTAAATGTATCTTGAAAACTATATTATATAAAAGGACTAACATAATATGTCTGCACCTGCATCTCATTTTTCTGATCTGTAGGTTCTTTAAGAAAGGATTGAAATACAATTATTTATTTAAGACATTATAGCACTATATTTAAGAATGTGGATTTGTGTCTCATCATTGACACTTACTGGCTGTAAAACTTTGTGCAAGTTACTTAGTATCTCTATTTCATGGTTACTCATCTTTAAATAGGGTGAATAAAAGCACTTACCTCATAGAATTTTTGTGGAGCATAAATTATTTAGTGGACATAAAGTGCTTAGTAAAACACCTGTCATAAACCAAGGGTTCAAAAAATGATTCACTATTCTTATTTTCTACAAGGTTTTTCCCAGAACTCAGAAGTGTTTTAGAAAACTGAATACGTGTGAAAACTAAATGTTTTCTTGCCTCTGCAGTAATCACTTCTCTTAGATTACAACACAGTTTTACTTATCATGTCTGTAGTCAAATTTCTTATAGTTTATTTTCCACATTTCTTTGATACGCTTTGATTTTAGCTTGCCTTTTTTATTAAGAATTTCCTCCAAAAATAAAAGAACAACTTTTATTTTTTTTGAGTTATGTAGATGTGCAGCAAGTCTCCTACATACAAATCTTCAAGTTGAGGACTTTCAAAGATGTGAATGTGCACCTTCTACAAGTTGTTGTGTTTTCGTATATATGTTTTTCATGTGTTTTATGTGTGAAAAGCATTAGAGGCCTATTACAGTACAGTACTATATAGCCAATTGTGTTAGTTGGGTACCTAGGCTACCTTGGTTGAACTTAAAACAAATTGGACTTGCAAATGCACTCTTGGACTGGAACTCGTTGGTATGTATGGGGCTTATTCTGTAGATGATGTGGGCCCTCATTGACCCTAAACAAAGACAATGCATGTCTTCTAGTTGGTAGAGGTAGCTGCTCTCAGACATATATTTGAATGTTGCTTTGAATAGGGCACAGTCTGAGGTTAAAAAAAAGTAGACAATGTGGTATTCTTTTCCCAGACCAGTACTATGACATATGTAAATCTTAATCTTGGAGAGAGAGAGAGAGAGAGAGGGAGAGAAGGTATAAAGGCAGAAAAATGCTTTCAACGAGGGACTTTGTGAGAACAAGGACATCTGCAGGACTGAGTCAGATATGCCTTCACTTTTAATTAAGGAACCTCAACATACAGTCTAGCAATGCTTTGTTGATGAAATTGATGCTTTCACAAAGACAAATTTGCTCATCTAATATAAAAAATATAAAAACTAAACATAAAAATATCTTATGAAAGAATCTGAAACAAATAATTTAAAAAATGAAAGTACACTAAACAAGATAGAAAATTCAACCTTTGTCATGTTTATTAGGCAATTCATTCAGTTTTTTTGTTCATCCTTCTAACAATTAGTTTTTGAGAACCTATCACATGCCAGGCACTGTGCTAGTCTCTTGATGTCCACTGGAGAGTAACATAGACATTGTCTCTGTCCTCATGAAGCTTAGGGTCTAAGAGACACAAAACAAACGTGTAAATATGAAATTGTGAATGCAGAAGTTACTATTTTCAATCAGTGACTCTTCAACAGAGAATACATGGGAACAATTACTTTACTTTGGGTGGTCAGAGGGGAGCCTCTCTGAGGATATGTCAGAGTTTTGAAAGTGAAGAAAAGCCAGCCCTACAGAGTCTGGGAAAGAACAGGCTAGGCAAAGGGAAGACTGTCAGTGAAGGTTTATATGCAGGATGGTAGGTAGTGAGAGAAAGTAGTATTAGCCAGACTACATCACACAGAGCCTTGTTGCTTATGGTAAGGAGCTGAATGTTTTCCTAAACACAGTGGAAAGACATTGAAGAGGTTTGCTTAAATATAAATTGATCTGTGTTTAAAATAAGTCACATTGGTCTTTATCTAAAATGGTTGGAAAGCTGGGAGATGTGTTTGAAAGCTCTTGCTGAACTGCAGAAACTTGGACCCAGGTTGTGATAATAGATAGGGAGAGATGGTCATAGAGTGGGGAGCTATTTGGAAGGGAAATCTAGAAATGACAATACAGAAATTCATATGGAAGCAAGAGTATGAATGGCCACAGCAATCCTTAGCAAAAAGAACAAATTGGAGGTCTCATACCACCAGACTTTAAACTGTATTATAAGTCTACAGTCACCTATATGGCATAGTATTGGCACAGGAATAGGTGCATAGACTAATGGAATAGGACAGAAATTTCAGAAATAAAAACATGGTTCCTCAACCAACTCATCTTCAACAAAGCCATCAGGTCAGACTTGGTGGCTCAACCTATAATCCCAGTACTTTGGGAGACTGACATAAGTGGATTGCCTGAGCCTGTAGGTTTGAGACCAGCTTGGGCAACTTGGTGATACCTAGTCTCTACAATAAATAAAAAATTACCTGGGCATGGTAGTGTACTCCTGTAGTTCTGGCTACTTGGAAGTCTGAGACAGAATAATTGCTGGAGTTCAGCAGGCTGACACTGGGATGGCGATGAGTGTGTCATTGCATTCCAGCCTGGGTGATGGAGTGAGACTCCAACTCAAAACAAAACAAAACAAAAAACCAAAAAAGCCCCCAAAACCAAAGCCATCAAGAACAATTATTGGGGAAAAGAAACCATATTTAGCAAGTGGTGCTGGGCAAACTGGCTAGCCACATGCAGAAGAATGAAACTGGACCCCTACTTCTCACCATATACAAAAAACAACTCACAGTGGATCAAGGACTGAAATGTAAAACTTCAAACTATAAGAAGCTTAGAAGAAAATGCAGGGAACACCATTCTGGACCATGAATTCAGGACTAAGTCCTCAAAAGCAAATTCAACAAAAGGTAAGACAGCCAGGTGGGACCTTATCAAACTGAAAAGTTTTTGCACACAAAAATAAACCATAAAGAGAGTAAAGAGACAACCCATGGAATGGGAAAAAAATATTTGAAAGCTATGCACCTGACAAAGACTTAACGTCCAGAATCTGCAAGGAACTCAGGTGACCTGAAAGAAAAACAAAAACCCCAATTCCATTAAAAAGTACAAAGGACATGAACAGGGATGATATTATGAAAAAAGGGTCAGCCTCACTAATTAACAGAGAAATGTAGGCCTAAAGTACACTGAGTTACCACCTGACTTTGGTGAGGATGACTATTGTTAATAAGTCAAAAACAGCAGGTGCTGGCACAGCTGTGAAAAGGAAAGGATGCATCTACACTTTTCTTGGGAATATAAAACAGTGTGGCAAGTTCTCAAAGAACTAAAAATTCAGCTTCCTTATGATGTAGCAATTCTGCCGAAGAGACACCTGCACATGCAGGATTATTGCCACATTATTCACAATAGCAAAAACATGGAACCAACCCAGATGCCCATCAAAAGTGGACTGGATAAAGAAAACATGGGAGACTGACATAAGTGGATTGCCTGAGCCTGTAAGGAGCTGAATGTTTTCCTAAACGCCATGGAATATTATGTAGCCATCAAGGAGAACAAAATCATGGCCTTTGCAGCAACTTAAATGCAATTGGAGGCCATCATACTAAGTGAACTATCACAGGAACAAAGAACTGAAAACCGCATATTCTCACTCATAAGTGATTCCTGAACACGAGTCACATTATTGCAAGGATGGGAGTGGCATTTGCTGAATACTGCTAGGAGAGGGAAGGAGGGAGGAGGGTGCGGGGTACATGACAACACAAAGGGTACCTAGTGCACTACCAGAGGGAGTGAGGACCACCTAAAAGCCCAAACTTCACCTGCACGCAGTCTACTTATGTAGTAAAACCTCACTTGTACCCTACAACTCTATAATCTATAAATTATATAAAAATATTGCAAAGTTGATATAATTGTATCACTTTAATTAAAATGCTATATGCGTTATAGTGATACAAAAATCTAGTGAAATAATGTAGTAAAATTCTAATTTTGTCAGAAAAAGACATTGAGCTTAAGAGAAGCAACTTGCTGAAAAACAAATTGCTGTTGGTTCCAGAGCTAAGACTTCTGAGTTCAGGACACTTTCTTTCTTTCTTTTCTTTTTTTTTAATTGGAGTCTCATTCTGTCATCCAGACTGGAGTGCAGTGGCCGCTCCCGGGCTACTCTCCCTTCTGAGTAGCCGGAATTATGGCATGCACTACCATGTCCAGGTGATTTTTTGATTTATTGTAGAGACGAGGTCTCGCCAAGTTGCCCAGGTGGGTCTCAAACCCACAGGCTCAGGCAATCCACTCACCTCAGCCTCCCAAGGCGCGGGATTACAGGTTGAGCCACCGAGCCCGGCTCAGGACACTTTCCAAATGTCAGGCTAACTCTAGTTAATTTACTGAGCTCTATTGGCTTCAATTTATGAGCACTTCGCCTTCCTTGTTTTCTTTTTTTTTTTATTGGTAGTAAATGATGACAGTTTTACTATTAAGTTTCATTATTAATGCCAAAAGAAAGACAGCAGTGATTTTTAAAAAGTTCAAATTAGTGTAAGAAAGGACTACAAAACAATCTGATTTTTCAACTGTAATTCAAGTGCTTCTTTTCTTATTTTAAGTAAAAAGAAAATCATCAGTCACTGGCAATATAGTACAAAGAGGCTTACAAAAATAGATTGATGTTATTTTGAGGAACAATACTGTAATTCTTTTCTCAATTCAGTTTCGATAAACTGTACCTAACCATAGAAAAATTATCCCAAATTCAAACTTGATATAAAAAAGGGAGAGATGAAATGAACTCAGTTAGATGACAGATCTGACAAAATATAAGAATGAAAAAAATCCTACATAGGGCACTTATTTCATGTCCAGATGTGAAAACCATTTTCAGTTTATCTTCTTTCCATAAGTAATCAGATTTGGAGTCGATCATGCAGTACAAAGTCACAGCAGTCAAAATCTTCTGTTTGATGCAACACACAAAAAGTTGTTTCTGTTTCCTTATTAAAATGTCAACTGGCTGTCTATTTTTCTTTATCCCATTTATTTGTATTCACAAATTAACACATAGCATCAACAATTATTGTAGGTGAAGTGGGGGTATTGTTGGTTCAAAGGCTCTATAAGACGTCTTTACTGACTGAATCAGCTTTATTGAGCGCAACCCTCACTACTTTTTCACCTGTTAGATATTTTACTTTAGCTCGTGCTCTCTCATCTGCATCAAAATACCAAAGTTATATGCTGGTTGTACTTCATGAGGGTTGCCACGGTCAGACCAGAAAAGCAGCAGTCTATCAAATTTGGGTTCAATGTCAGCAAACTGGGCTTTGCCTTCTGGAAAAATTCGAAGTATACCTCCACTTACTTTGGCATCCCAGTCTTTATTAAGATAATATATACATGTCACACATCTTCCATCTCCATCTGGATTATCAACATGATGTACATAACCTGTTCCATTGCCTGGATAACAAGCAACCATGGCTTTCGTCCGGCGGTTGATCTTGTAGTTGCCCAGCTTCCCGTCGCAGTGGCGGATCAGGTCGTCCATGCTGCTCATGAGCAGCCCGATGGCCTCGCAGCCGGGCTCCTTGCCCTCGATCCAGGTGATCTGGTCGCCACGGATGTCCTTGGACGAATCGCTCTTCTGGATGACCAGCTGCCTGTTCGTGAACTTGCCGGTGTCGTGCAGGGCGCGCACCTCGTCGCCGATCTGCTGCCCGAT